CCCAGGCTAGTCTCAAACTCCTGGGCTCAAGCAATCCTCTAGCCTCAGCCTCCCAAGTAGCTAAGATTACAGGCGCTCACCACCATGCCCAGTTTGTTTTATTTTGAAGAAAATAATCTAATGTATGAGGAAGTCAGAACAAAGTATAGAAAATTTTTCTGGTGATATACAGAATCTCTGCTATTTGGGCAGATTACATAGGATGCAAAGAATAACTTTTACAATCTCTCACTAAGAGCAAACCAACAGTCCATGAAAAATCCATCATTTTATTATTTTTTTATAACCTGCATTTATTTTCCCAGGAAACAAATTTTAAGTAATGTTCATTTAACCAATGGAGAAAAAAATTTCTATCAAAATATACAATTTCCATTACAGACTAGAAGGCTAACATTAAAAAAAATTGTAAGCCAAAAAGTTTGCTTATATGGATAACAAGCATCACCCCTTTGAAGAACAAAGCATCAAATAAGATCTTATAAAAGATCCATCTGTGACTTTCTTCATTTGTAAGTTCCTGATAAAGTCATCAAGCTTGAGTCTCAGGCTTTAGATCAAGGTATATCCATACTTCTTAACCCAGATTTCTGGAAATGGAGGAACCAAATAACTCAGAATCTCAAGTGGGATTTATGCTTTACCATATACCTGTCTAATGTCTCCCAAAACCGTAAGAAAACTGGTCTATCCAAATGACGTTTGTGATAGCTGAGTTCTAATATGGTTACATCCCATTTCTGAACGTTGGGATCTAGACGAACTTCATCATACTTGAGATGGAAGGCTTTAATTTTAGCAAATATGTCAACTGGCGATCCACCAGGCAAAAGCCATGGCCAACCTTTGAACTGCCATGCAGGACCTTGCACAAAAACTGCTACAACCTGGTCCCAGTCTTGAGGCATAAGTTTAAAGGGCTGGTCTACTACTTTATAAGGTACTGTGACACTAATTGCAGTGCCCCCTGGTTGCAACTGGTCTTTTCTTCTCTGTATTAGAATTTCATTTTCTCGTTGACAACCTCGTTTCTTCTTTTCATCTGATGGGACAAATTTCAGGTCCTGTAGAATGTCTTTTGCATTAAGCATGGTAATTAAAGAGGTGGTGGCTGCGGGAATTATGATAATGGGTGTCTGAGATCCTTTCTTCTGACTTGGGGGAGGTCTTGCTTGAGAAACTGGTCTTGGTACTGGCTGGGCTGCAGGAGTTTGAGCAGATGCACCCTCCGTTACAGATTTCAGTGTCATACCATGGTAGGTGCCCATAGTGTCAATGTTGAAGCCTTCCATTTCTTTTTTTCCTTTGAATCTTTCCTGGTCATATCTGTCATAGGCAGCTGGGATAAGCTGTTTAGTACGCAATGTGGGATCCACAGGTGCTGCATTTGAGGCCCGTCCCTGTTCAAGTGCATGTCCTTCTTCTCTGGCTTTTAAAGATTGAAGAATTGCAAAGATACTCTCGGACAAATTCTTTCCTGTGCTCTGTAAGATAGTTGTTCGTGTCCTCCATACTCTCTCTCTGCTAACAATATCTTGGGTCACATCTACCTCAGCATCCACAAACCTCCTCTGTTTAAAGGCAGTTATACCATCATCTAAATCAGTCTTGATAGTAGATCTTTTCTTGGCCATAATTTTGGCTTTGATTGCAGCAATTTTTTCTACTGACATAGCTGTAGACAAAGACCTAATCTGTTCAGTCTGTACAATCCCTTCCTTGTGGTGCTCCAAACGAGCAGCCAATCTCTCTTTATCAAGGTGCACACACTCTTCATCCTCAATTCGTGGTTTCTTTGCTTCTGCTAAAACTTCATCTGCAGCTCGTTTGACTTGAGTGGATCGCCAAAGACCTGTTTCTAGGGGAGCACTTCTATCTATACTTGCCGATGTCGATGCTTCACCACTGAGATATCCAAGTAGATCTTTTCGGTCAGGTCTTCTAACCGCAGTAATATTTTCAGTAGCTGCACATCGGACATAAACAGGATGAGAAAGGTGTACATTACTAAGTAGAAATAAGATGGAATCCAGTGTGTAGTACTCTCTGGGGTGGCCTTCTTTTCCAGTTCCCCAAACGACATAGTTGGTCTTCACATTCTTGGGCCAGGAGAGCTCCCCGAAGATCACTTCGTCTCCCTTCACCACAATCTCCTTCTTCTGGATGTTGTACTGTCGCAAAACGCTGAGCACGTCCGCCATCTGCCCCACCCTCGCCGCCGCGGCGCCTGCCTCCTCCTCTCTGTCCTCTCGCCCTCCTCCTCCTCCTCCTCCTCCTTCGCTGCCCCCACGAACTAACAGCTGCAGCACTGACAGGGGTCCTCGCCTACGACAGCAGCAAAATATTCATCATTTTAAGAGAGAAAAAACCAAATGTCAGTATTATCAAGATACCTGATAATAACAGAACCGTAAAATCTCTTGCAAATCTTATGAATGAACTTATCAAAAGGGATCCACTTTTGGCCAAGGCAAATAACATTCTCTTTCCACTAATCTACAACTTTCTATACTCATTCAGGTTTTATCCTTTACTTTCCTCTTTCTGGTTCTGGAAAAACCAACTATTTTACTGTAGGATAAAACTATTCTCTTTTTTCCATTAATAAATGAAAACGCATCTCAATTTCTCACACACAAAGTTGTATCTCTCTGTCACCATTGATCCCAGTACAGTCTTATCGGTGTATACTAATTATAACTTTTAACCAAAGTTACTTCCATTTCGCAGAGAAAACTGGGGTTGAAACTAGGGGTTGAAGAATTGAGAACTGTCTGTTACACATCAGCATTTTAGCAGATTAGTAGAGCTCACAAATATACACAACACAACTTCATAGAGCTATAAACATCCCTAATAGACCTTCTCAAGGTGGTAAAAGGAACACATTCATTAACAGACCCAAAAATATAGCCTCTCTGTAGCAACAAAAAAATAAAAAAGCAAGATAGGCACAGTAGTTTGTGAGTGTAGTCCCAGCTACCCAGGAGGCTGAGGTGGGAGGATCTCTTGAGGCCAGAAATTCCAGGCTGTAGTGCACCATGATCACACCTGTGAATAGCCACTGCACTCCAGCCTGGGCGACATTGTGAGACCCTGTCTCTAAAAAAATAAAAAATAAAAAAAAGGAAGAGCACATAAACTTGAGATTATGCTTAATTATCAATGTTTCAGAATTCTATCTGACTTAGAAATGACCTAGGTACCCAATGATTATCCATTAATTGACTCAATTTAATATCAGTCCAAGGGTTTAAGTGGATAAGTATGCTTAACGAGGCCAGGTGTGGTGGCTCACACCTGTAATCCTAGCACTCTGGGAGGCGGAGGCAGGAGGATCGCTCAAGGTCAGAAGTTTGAGACCAGCCTGAGCAAGAGCAAGACCCCGTCTCTACTAAAAATAGAAAGAAATTATCTGGACAACTAAAAATATATGGAAAAAAATTAGCTGGGCATAGTGGCACATGCCTGTAGTCCCAGCTACTCGGGAGGCTGAGGCAGAAGGATTGCTTGAGCCCAGGAGTTTGAGGTTGCTGTGAGCTAGCTTGATGCCACAGCATTCTGCCCAGGCAACAGAGCAAGACTCTGTCTCACAAAAAAAAAAAAAAAGTATGCTTAACAATGATAAATCAGTCTTAAAAGAGGTCATGGAGAAAAAATAGACATAAAAATGATAAATAATTTAGAAAAAACGTTTTTTAAAAAATTTAACAAAAATAAAAAATAAACAACAGTGATAAATCAGGCAAGACAGCTGTTTTCATTAAACCAAAAATATTAAACTAGACTCATCTGCTGAAGATTTATATAAATTATGTTGTTTTAGTCAGTTTGGGCTGCTGTAACAAGTTACCATAAACTGGGAGGCTTAAAAAACAAACATTTTTTCCTTACAATTCTGGAGGCTGGAAGTCCGAGTTCAGGGTGCCAGAATGGTCTGGTTCTGGTGAGGGACCTTTTCCAGGTTGCAGACTGTCCACCACTTCTTGTACTCTCACGTGCTGGAAAGCAAGCTAGCTACCTCTCTGCTCTCTTCTTATAAAGGCACTAATCCCACCCATGAGGCCCCACTCTCATAATCTAATTACCTCTCAGAAGCCCCACCTCCAAACGCCATTTTATTGGCAGGTAGGAATTCTACCACTGAATTTACCAGTAACATCCAATCGGGATTAGGGTTTCAACATACAAATTTTGGGGTGACACAAATATTCAGTCCATGGCATATGTGAACTTGAATTCCTAAAACATTTGAGTTGGTTTCTGTAGGAATACTTTGCTAGCATATTGAAAGAATTAGAAATTCAATTTCCTTTTTTTTTGAAAATTTAGGCATATTCAGTTTATATAAGCACTTTTGTATCTCTTCAAGCCAATTGGAACAGAAAGTCTTTAAGATACTCTATAATTTAATATTATTCAAAGGTAGAAAAACATCACACACTTGCAGAATCAGAGGTAAAGACGACTTTTTTGAATTACAGACACACAGACATAAAGAGAAATAGAGATTATAGCTTCAATTCTAAAATTTCAGACATGGGTCAAGAGTAAACACAGAAAGGAAAAAACTCACCAGTCCAGTTATCACAGAGCTGTTCTCCTCCCGCTGGGCATGAAACTCTTAATTGATGTCAGTTCAAAGTAGACAGACAGAAAAGACTAATAAATCAATCTTTCTGTTGTCTTTCATCTAATAGGGATTAGCCCTCTGGAAACATTAATCCTCTTAAAGAGATCATCAAGTGGTCAGACCATAAAGCCAATTTCACAATCATTGATGGTAGCAATGGAGGGAAAAAAAAAAACTAAACTAAAAAAAAAAACAAAACCTCTGCGGCAAACGTACCAAAACCAAAGCAAAACACAAAATTGGTAGAAAAGAAAATCACTAAAAAACAGGAAGTCAGCAAAAAGCTTTTTTGCCCGGTTGGACTCATTCCTAGGAGCCAAGAAAATCTGCGCCGGGGCTTCAACCCCTCGCCTGCGCATGTGCGCCACTCTGGAGACCGTTTACCCGGCTCAGTTTTGTGATTCCAAGGGGGTTCTGGGTGAAGACCTCAAAACCGTTAAAACAGAAGAGCAAGATTATGACTGACACGCAGATAGAAAAATGAGCACATGCTAAAGATTTTATTTAATTCAAGAGGCCCTGGCAGATATTATAACCGGTTCAAAAGAGAATCTGAAGAACAGACATATTTACAGATCAGGAATATTGAAATTATTAAGTAAAGGGAGAAATGGAGTCAAAACTAGATTTTCTCTGGAGCTGGGGGGGGGGGGGTCCCCACCAACTTCCGCCAGGCAGGACATAATTTGCGTCTGTTAACCACAATTTTCAAAGAGGTGTAAAATAGCTCAAAGACTATGAACAGGGCTGGAATCAAATAATGGAGTCTTCCAAACAATGCTTAATTTTCCATTGAAACAAAATTCTTTTTCTACACACTTTATCCTCTTCAGGAGGTAAAGTTATGCGTAATTTTCTTCTTTAAATTCTGTGTGTAGTTTCTGATCTACAGTTGTTATGAATTCGAAGTGGTTTGGAAAAGCTAAATTTCTTTTCTCCTTGTTGGGAGGAGGAAGGTATTTTGTTCCCTGCTAATACTCTATTTTATCTCTGGGCTCTATGTCCTAATATTTTAGTTAAATGATGTCTCATTTGTGATCATAAGCAAACGTGATATGATGCACCGCTTTTATTTATTATGGTTGTGCGTGGACACTGACTCTCTTATTTTTAAACTTTGTTTGATTGATTGATTGATTGATTGATTTGATTAAGACAGGGTATCGCTCTGTCTGCCCAGGCCGGAGTGCAGTGGCGCGAGCACAGCTCACTGAAGCCCCGATCTTGGCCTCAAGCGATCCTCCAGCCTCGGCCGCCCCAAGGGTCGGATTACCGGCGTTAACCACCGCGCCCGGCCTAGACGGTCCCTTAAAGACATAGCCTTAGAATAAGGACAAATTTGAGGTTGGGGCTCGGGGCTGCCAGTCTTCACAGCACAGAGACTCTCAGAGCTAGACGACGCAGAGACTTTTGAGACGTTCCCTAAACCTGGTGGCGCATAGATCCATGGGAAATAGAGTCCTGTTACCTGTCCTGGGGTCGGTGACGGCCCCAGGAGGCGGACTCCGGGACTCTCCTGCGCATGTGCCTCTCTCCTTCTCTGTGTGCGTGTTCACGCATGCGCACCGTCGCCGCTCTGCCCTCGCTTCCGCTGCGTCCTCAGGTCGCAGATCAACGTAGTTACCAGGTTTTGGCCTCCGCTGGGCGAGATCGCGGACCCTGCGGGGCTGAACGCCAACCGGCGGGGCCGACACGCAGGCTGACGCGAGGCTGTGTGGCCCCGGGTTCGCGCGGGCTCGGCGGAGGCTCGAGCGGGGACCCTCGATTGCGAGCCCCGGGCTCGCGGTGCTGGGGTTCGAGGGGCCGGGCGGGCAGCGACGGCGACGAAGGGGCGGCGGGACCCGGCACCGGTCCGTCTGCATCCTTGGCGGCTCGGCCGCAGCTCTGCGGGACGGTGAGTCCCAGAGGAGACAGATTTAGGGCCTGGGAGGGACGCTCCGCCCGAATTTGTCCCGTAGGCCCAGATCCGGCTCCTCGGGAACAGAACGGCCTTGGTGAAGTGGAAAGGAGGCGACCTCGGGAGCAGAACCGCGCCCGCGAGAACAGCCCCCCGCCCCCACCTGTCGGGAACCGTGGGGCAGAGGCCGTGGAACCCCAGGAGAGGGTAGGTCGTGGCTTTGCGGGCCCGGAGTGAGCAGGGCTTGGGTGAAGTTGTCGCGTGCCGAGGCCATTAGCTTGTGGGCCAGGGGAGGGTTTTGATGTCTTTCAGGAGAAAGGAGTGGTTGGGTTTGAGGGCGGGGGCAGGCTACACCGGCGTAGGCTCTCCATGGACAGATCTGTGAGGACAGAGTTTGGGGGAGTGGTGTCACCAGCCTCAGCTGGGGATTATTTTCCTCCACTCTTTCCTTCCCTCACCGCTCCAGATTGCGAACGAGTGTGTTACTAAATGTCCATCAGCACCTAGTTCTGTAATTTGTGTCTGCTGATTCCACCTCAGGTCTGTCCCTGTGGAAACAAGACATTTCAGTGCAGGAAAAGTCTGCAAGGATTCTCTGTTGCTGCCTCAGTTGCTATAGGAAGACATTGGGTCTTAGCAGATGAGTGACTTGTCCAAGGTCACCAGGCTTGTTGGTAGCATGGCTAATAGAACTCAGGAGTCTTATCTTTCAGGCCAGTGTTCTGTTCACTGTATCTTAGTTAAGTCAGAGTAAGTTTTTAATAAAAGGTCTTTTTGAGCATCTAGCACTCAAAAGTACAAATAAAGACTCAGCGGTGCTGACTGTATCTCTTTATTCAGAGCATTCTGTGGATTTTCTTTTTCTTTTTAAGGCAAGCACGAAAATGAGGTTTATTGAGGAGAGAAAGATAGGCTTATAGAGCAAGAGCCAGATACAGGTTTACAGAGCATGATACATGCACGGAAATGAGGTTTATTGAGGAGAGAAAGATAGGGTGATAGGGCAAGAGCCAGATAGATACAGGTTTACAGAGCATGATACATACAGCACAAATGATGACCAGACTCATTGTTGCAGCAAAGGGAGAACAAAAGGAAGGGGCCAAAAAAAGGTGATTTTCTGATCTTAAATAGTTAAAAGACTTAGAAAATAGATGAGTGTTACAGAATTCTTTTTATTGTACATTTAATGATGGCAGATTATTTTACTAGAATCCAGTTGTCATTCACTGTGAGAATCGCACCCAGTTACCTGGTAACTATGTGTGAGCTACAAATATGCACGTGGGTGCACCTCTGGTGAATTTCCAGTCACTACTGAGGGCTTAAAGTGACAGTCTCTTGTAGGGTGTCCTTCGTGGACCTTTCTGTGTAGGTTTTTAAGCGGGAGATTCCTACCTTGGCAGGCCAGATCACCCATAACTTCATTGCTTGTGTTTTCCTTCCTCAGATCTGCCTCTGCTTTCACAGCCCTCCACGTTTTTCCAAGAGCAGCAGAAAATGAATAAATCCCTGGTGAGCTTTTCTGTTCATGTATTTATTCTCTTCTTTGATTTACAGTACACCTTAGGAAATGAGTAACGGTTCAAGTTTTAAAATGTGGAAGTAGAAATAGATAAAGGTATGATCAGACAAAACAGAGTAGCCAGCACCAGCATATTTGTCATGTTCATGTGTGTAGATAGTATGATCTTTAAAGAGTTCTTAAAGCCAGAGTACTGGTGTGTCTCACATTCTTGGCATTCATTACAAAAGATGATAAATTGCATCTGGTACTTACATTGATAAGCAGAAACATTTTTGTTTTCTCATGGATTTTAAAGATTTCTTTGCTATAACCATGAATAGCCTTCCTAAGTGATAGCCCTTAACCTGCTGCCATCCCTGTCTTACTTGTTCTTCGTGTAAGCAGAGAGCGTAATGTCCACAGAGGACTTAATGCATATGATATCTCTGGTGACTCAAATATTGTTGTCCCACAGATACATTGTGTTTGCTGCTTGACCCAGGGATAAAACATGGATCATCTGCAGGAATGGCCCTCTTACCCTTAAATTAGTGTTGGTAAATATTTCTCTCTGTTAGTCTACCTGGGTTGCACAGCAGACAGAGCAGTGATAAATCTCTGGCAAAGAAGCCCTTATCTTCCATTCCCATTTTCTCCTGTAGCCCACAGCCTTGGTTCTGTCCCTGTTGTTCCCCTGACCTTGTTCTGGTAGAGGTTGCCAGTGATCTGTTAGACATGGCCAGTCCTTGCTATAGACCAGAGTCTCCTCTGTCAGTTTCTATGACATCTCCCTCCTTGTCCTCTTCCTGAATTTGATGATTTCTCTGCTTTCTTCACCTATCGTTTTCCACTTTGGGCTCATGACTCTTCTTATACCTCTCTGAGCTCACCCTCCTATGCTTCTAACCACCAGCTCTGTGTTGGTTCTTGCACATAGAGCCACAGGTGCCTCTGTCTAGCCACTTGCTCAGCATTTCTGTGGAATGTGTCGAAAGGACCCCTCATAGATGCAATAGATCCAAAAATGATTATTTGCAACCCCCACCTATGCCTTCTCCTCTTATTCCTGTTGGTTCATTCATTGTTCCATCGTCTAGCCTGTTAATGCTATCCAGAAAGATGGAATTCTTTCTAAACTCCTTGGCCATTCTCTCTTACCACATGGGATTGTTCGAGTTTGTTAGTGTTATGTTCTAAATGGCTTTATCCTGTCTTCTGGTCCCATCCCTGTTACCATTAAAATAGCTTATTTTTTCATCTTTGGACTATTGCAGAGACTTCCTTTCTTTGCTGCTACTTCTTCCATCCACTAGCTCAAGTATATTTTCCATGTTGAACATTTCTCCTAAACCTAAAGCCTTAACGGTATCATGCTGTATCCATGTGGAAAGCACTTGAGAAGCTGGGAAAATGAGGTTGCCTTTAACTGAGAAGGAGAAGATTGTGGGACAAGCAAGTTTGAGAAAAGGCCAGAATTAGGTCTTACGTGTTTTAAATTTGGGCTGTTGGTATGAGGTGAGGTGGCAGTGTCAGGAAGGCAGATGTGTGTGGGGGGAGTTGTCAGGAGATGAGTCCAGGTGGGAATCGGCACTGGAAATTGGGCAAGGAGTGAGCAAGGGGTGAGCCCGGGCTCTCCCACACGCAGTCTCGTGCAGAAAGAGGAACTAGGAAGGGGCTGCTGGTCAGGCAAGAGTGAGAACCAGGGACCTGCAGTTCCTGAAGCTAAGGAAAGGAGAAGCTTTGGGAAGCAGGTCATCAGCTGTGTCAGCACTGTTAATAGTCCAGCCAAATGAGGACTGAGAAATAGCCCTGGGATTTAGCCCTGGGGAGGTCATGTGACTCCCTGAGGATTTGTTGGGCTGGATCAGCAGGGTAAATCCTGATGGGAGAGGTTTAGGAGAGAGTGATAGAAGGATTGGATTAGGTATATTCCTAACTTTTTTGAGAAATTTTGCCCTGAGGGGAAAAGCTGGACAGTGGCTGGAGTAGGAGTTGAGGCCAAGAAAGGATTTTTTTGTTTTAACAGGAGAAATAACAATGGGGATGATCCAGTGGAGAATGAAATATAGTTGATGCTTGTGGGAGAGGGGAGCATGGCTGGAGGTTCCTAGAGTCAGGGAGAGGGGCAGGGATGGGGACAAGGGTTGAAGGGGTCCCAGGTGGTTCAAGATGGGTAGACATGTGGCATTCCTTCTGCTCACTTCTCTTTTCTCAGGGAAATAGCTAATCAGCTGACAGTGAGGGTGAGGTTGAGGTTTTAGGGAGAGAGCATCTCCATCCTGACCACCTGCACACATGGCTTAGCTGGCTGAGAGGATTATATTTTTGTCTGAAATTCCATCTCATTTATTACAATGTGGATGTAATTTACTACTCTTGGGATTTTTTGTAATGACATTGGTGGTCTCAGCCAAAAGTGACTAGAACGTTGGTTGTTCTGCCTTGGCCGTCTTTTTCTGTTCTGGTGCTTGAAGGATCCCCAAAGGAAGCTTCCTCCTTGCTTGGCTCTTTGCTTTGGTGACCCTTCCCATCACCTAGTATTTTGTCTTTTTTTCTTAGACATTAAGGTGTAAGGTCTTCAGGTCTAGGGACATGATTATAAGAGGCCCTTCTTTCCCTCAAGTTTATATTCTCCTTGGAGGAGGTAATTGATAGACTTGTTTACAGGACACAGTGGGAATCTTTGAAGTGATGACTGTAAATGTATTGTAAAGTATTGTGACTCAGTCACCCAGTGGAGGGAAAGGTGTGAGTCAAATGAGGTGGGGTTTCGACAGCCCTGGAGTAATTAGGGTTCGTTGCAAAGGCTGGTAAAGGTGCTTGAGAAAGGCTCCTGAAGGGCCATTAAGACTTCTGCTTCCTTAGGATTTGGGCTTCCTGTTGAGGGACAGTGAGGGATGTGAATGGAGGTAAATACAGAGATTGACCCAGGAGCCGCCACTGCTCTGCTGAGGTTTGATTTTATACTGCAGAGAATTTGAAACCACCTAATTGGGAAAGCAAGTCATCTGATAAAAAGATACAAGTAAGTCAAGGGCACGCAGGGGTTTCTAGCTGAGCCAGAAAAGGAATGTGACTCAGGGTGCTCCGGCTGCTCCCAGGCCCCCTGCATGCCCCCAGGCTTGGGCTTTTCCTTAACCTTATGAATGAGGTTGAGGTTTGAGTATATTTTTACGTATTTAGGAGCCGTTTCTTTTTTTTTACTATCAATAGACTTATTTTTTATGGCAGTTTTTGGTTTATAGAAAAATTGAGCAGATGGCACAGTTCCCACATACCCCTCCCCTCTCAGTTTCCCGTTAGTAACGTCTTGCATCAGTGGTACAGTTGTTCCACTTGAACCAATATTGATGCATTATTATTACCTAAAATACATAGTTTACATTAGGGTTCACTCTTTTAGTTTTACAGTTCAGGTTTTGACAAATGTATAATGACATGTATCTACCATTAGTGTGTCATGCAGAATAGTTTCACTGCCCTAAAGACCCTCTGTGCTCCAACCTCCCTTCCCCTTCCCCTAGCTCCTGGCAATCACTGATCTTTTCACTATCTCTACATTTTTGCCTTTACCAGAGCATCATATACTTGGCATTATCCAGCACGTAGCCTTTTCAGACAGGCCCATTTCTGTGTTTATGTGAAGTGCCTGTTCACATCCACTGCCAATCTTTCTATCATTGTTTTGTTTTGCTTTTGTTGACTTTTAAGTAGTCTTAAATGATCATAAGATTTTCCAGTTTGGGTCATGTTAGTAAACATTTTCCCTCAAGTAAATTTGTCTTTTTACTTTATTTTCCAGTATTACTATATAATTCTTTAAATCTTCATTTGGAGAAATCAAATATTTCATATTTTTTAAATGTCTCAAAGTAAGGACGTTTTGCATGGATAGGCTTCCTAGTTCAAGAGCACCCTCTCCACCCAGTGCTCAAGTGCAGCATCTTAAAAGGTAACCTCAGTGGTGGTGAGCAGGAGGAATTTGTTGGGGGTTCTTTTATTTCTGTAGTTTTCATTTTTCCCCTCTTGTCTCTGGCATACTGCTTCAGTTGTTTTCCTTGGATTGGCCACATAGGTGGTGTACTAATACTGACTCTTCTGAGTCTTTGCGTATCTGAGATGTCTTTTTTTTCTGATGTACTAGAGCTATGGTCCCCAACCCCTGGGCTGCAGCCTGGTGCTAACCTGTTAGGAACAGGCCAGGTATCACTGCCTAAGCTCCGCTGCCCACCCCTTCTCCCATCTGTGGGAAAAGTGTCTTCAATGAAACCAGTCCCTAGTGCCAAAAAGATTGGGGACCGCTGTACTAGAGGGCCCTTGTTGGCTGAGTAGAGGACTCTTGGAGTGCAGTCTTTTGGCCTCAGTAGGCTGTAGCTGTTGTCTGACTGTTGTTAGTTCCCAGTGATGCACGTGTGATCGCTGATGACTGTAACATACAGAGCCCCTTTGTTAAAGTCCTCTTGCATCTTTTTCATGTTCTATTCCTCTGGGGAACACACTTTTTCTCTCAAATTTTGCTGATGAAATTCCAGTGCTTAACCTTGAAACTACCATCCCCCCTAACTTCTCATGAAAGGAATCTCAGGTAAGGAGAACATTCTCCCTTCCCCATTGCATTGGAGAAGCAGGCACTATCTGTATCATAAACCAAGCTCTGATAAAGTGGTAAATTGAGATTTTCACAAAAGTATTCTTGCTCTCAGGTCTGGCTCTGGCTTGTGCGACAACATATAATCCAGATAAGAATTCTATTATTACAAAACTGTCTGTGGAATACTGTCTCTACCAAGCGGTCTTTTAAGACACACTCATCATGGGTTGTTCCCTTGTCTTATGAAATTAATCTAAAATCCCTAAATATTTGCAGTTCTGATTGGTTGTCTTAACTTGTTATCCAAGTTTTCTGAAATCCATTTTCTTAAAGTTATTGCTTATTAAACTTCTTGTTTCAAAGCAGAGAAAAAACAGTGCAATTTTATTCTTGTCCCTTTGTGCATAAAAGTGAACTCAGGCAAGCTACTTAAATCCTTCACCAAATAAAAAATAAGTTTGGCTGGGCACGATGGCTCATGACTGTAATGTTAGTGCTTTGAAAAACCAAGGTAGGATTGCTTGAGGCCAGGAGTTAAAGACCAGCCTGGGCAACATAGCAAGACTCCGTCTCCACAAAAATTTAGAAAAATTAGCCGGATGTGGTGGCGTGCACCTGTAGTCCCAGCTGCTTGGGAGGCTAAGGGAGGAGGATCGCTTGAGCCAAGGAGATTTAGGCAGCAGTGAACTATGATGATGCCACTGCCCTCCAGCCTGGGCAACAGAACAAGACCCTGTCTCAAAAAAAAAAAGTTCGGAACATTCATGAGAATGCTGTTTGCAAGCAGCCACAGTGCATGTATTTTATGTGTAGTCCAAATAACAAAACCTGTAATTTTTTTCTTCTTGTGTTCTTTCCCATAAGTTGCATATTTTGTGAAATTACAAATGCGAAATCAGAAAGTTAGAATAAAGTGCAATTTAGCCTGTTGACACATTAAAATTAGATTGCTTCTTCATTCTCTGTTCCCTCACTCTCTTGCATTTGGTAATGACTTTTAATATACAACAACTTACATAATTGTCCTGTTTGATTCTTTTGACCCCAAAATAATCTTCCTTTCCTTCAGTTAGCATTCCTTATTAAGTAATCATTCATTTGTTTTGTTTATTTATTCACAAATATGAGCTCTCCACTAGGTTCTGAAATACTAAAAAGAATTAAATATTCCTTCTCGGGAAGATTGCTTAGAATCCCTTAGTGGGAAGGATTCGAATAAAAACAAATACATTATATATAAGATCTATAGCATAGAAGTATGAGTGAAATGGTATGTTTATTTCTAAGTATGTTTTTGGTAAAGATTGTGTCCCTGGGATATTTTCAACCCAAGAGAGATTCTGGTTTAAAATAGAGATTTTATCAGTTCATACTTAAGTCTAGTCATAGATATATGTGGCCTCATTACTTTTTTCTTACTGTGTTTTTATTTATAAGACATTCTTATTATTTCTTTGCTTTTCTTTTATGAACTTTTCTGAACTGATAACTTTCTACACATTTCTCCTCTTCTAATGAGTGATGTGAAAGTCCGTTGCCTGTTTTTACTCATTGTACGATGGACTGTGCTGACAGATATCAGGTGGACAAACTAAACAGGGACACACACTTGAGGAAATGAAACCAGGCTTACTTTACTAAGAAATCAACACGTTGTTCTCTCTTGGCAAGGCAGAGCAGTGCGCTATGTGAACTTCTGGACTGCCTCCATCCTCATCAGGGCAGCCATAATCATGGCCAGTGATGTCTGAATAAAGTGCAGGCAGAGCTTCTGGAAGCCTGACTGTTGCTCTCTGAGGCGGTCTCATCACCTACTGGGGCAGTTCTGCACATGGATTCGTCTGGCTGGGGCAGGAACCACTTCTTCCACCACTATGTGTCCCATCAGCAGTTGGATACTCTCTGCCCTGATCACCCTCATCCTTACCAGGCCAGCCAGTCCGGTCCCGGGACATCCTATCACCTGGAGCTGAATGAGAACATCGTGGCATCTCAGGGAGTCCTATGGGGGGACCTGTCCTGCACTTGTGGATCATTCCACATATAAAACCTAAAATACTTGGTCAACACCAGAAGTTTGTCATCATCACACCTGGCCTCTAAGCATGAAGTGGCCTTTCCTTCACCACCTTCCCCACTGCTCCTACCACCATGTTTTGTTGAAATCATCTGAACCTCTTTGTTTTTAACATACAGATACTGTTTTATAATCCTTTCTTGGTGATTACATAGAACTTAGCCACATTATCTTTAGTTGTTTAAACTTAACTTCTATGTCTTATGGTTAATTTTCTGTCCTAATTTGGAAAGTGATAAGATACATAGGAGATAGTCAACAATAACAGATGTCATTGATAAATATGTATTATGTCTAAAAAACTATATTAAGTGCTTTCCACAGATTAATCTATTTAATATTAGCATTATATTATGTGATAGGTACCATTATTATTTTATTTTAGAAGTGATAATACTAAAGGAACAGTTATAATGGCTGATGTAAGTACTTGTGAATGGGACAGTTTATTCAAAAGATACACATTTAAAGATAGTTTTGACAGTTTCCAGGTAAGCTGTCTGCCCCTCCCCAGAAAGGTGCTTCTCTTCTCCTGGAATGTGCAAAATGGGAAGAAAGATAATTCAGGATTCCTAGCTAAGAATTGGGGACACCCAAGCCAATCTATTACTGATAATTCATGTGGCAGGCTGTGGTCAGACCTGCTATAGGCTTACTCTTATAATAAATACAAAACTGGAATGTATGTTGCCAGGCTTGCTTGTTGTTTTGGTAATTGTGGCCAATATTGCAGATGGGTTCTAGTAGTAGCTATAGGAGGAGCAAGTTTGGACTGGAGCAGTGACTGAATTTCAGGCATGTTGAGTTTGAAATCTGAGACATATGTGTTTGGAGTTTAGGAGAGTGGCCTAGGCTGGTGATACAAATTTGGAAAATGTTGGTGTACGGATGGTAATTATTAATAAATTAGTCATGAAGCCAGGTGGGCTCACCATCAAAGCGATGAGTACAGAGAGCAAAGAGAAAAAGACCAAAGACTCAGCCCCAGGGCCCTCCAAATTCAGGATGACTTGGAGGAGAGGAGGAGCCAGCAAAGGAGATTGAGAAGGAGTGGCCAGGGAGATAAGAGAAGAACCAACATTGTTGATGTTCTGGAAGCAAAATGAAGAGTGTTTGAAGGAACGGAGTATATGAGTATATTCTGAGATTCCATGAGTGTTCCTCAGGCCTGTACTCCTCAAGAGCCAGGGTTGTTCCTGATTTACAGTGCAAGCCTAGCATTTTTTAAAAATGTCTATGGAATGAACCCCGTAGCAGTGTATTTCTAATATGTTTGTTTTCTTCACAATCTCTAATATAACGTAAGGTATACAATATTCATGGTTAACTTTACCAGGGAGTTTGTTAAGATCTTGTCCCCATGTGCCTTTTCCACATTACCCACTTCCAATCATGGTGCCATTACAGGGACCAGTGTCATTCAAGGATGTGGCTGTGGACTTCACCCAGGAGGAGTGGCAGCAGCTGGACCCTGAGCAGAAGATAACATACAGGGATGTCATGCTGGAGAACTACAGCAATCTAGTTTCTGTGGGTGAGGATAGCTTGCTTTCTTGGTTGCTAATATATATGGGATTCTCTCAAATTTAATTATTTTAACTTCAAATTTGATGGGACAAATGTGAGTAATCTGATTTGGGCACCAGGCAGAGCATTTTGGTCTCCCCAGTGAAAGGTTCTGATTTTGATAAAGCACAAATGGCACTTTTGTGCAGCTCATACAGAGGCTCTTTCCTCATATGACAGAGACCCTGAAGCCAAGCAGCTGGGCTCAAGTTCTCTTTCATTTCTCATTAACAGGGTATCACATTATCAAACCGGATGTTATCATCAAGTTGGAGCAAGGAGAAGAGCCATGGATAGTAGAAGGAGAATTCCTACTTCAGAGCTATCCAGGTGTGTTAGTGAAGGCAGTGAGGAGATTGGTAACTTGGTAGTGTTTTTCCCAGGAATTTTTTAATGGTCCCAAACCTTTAGAGTTGACTAAAGATAGTTACTTCTATGCTCCAGACACCTGAAACTCACTCCCAAAGACTTCTTTCTTCCCCATAAAAACTTTATTTATAGAGCTTTGTCATGCTTACCACTACCCAGAATTAAAATCCAGTTACTTCCTTTTTCCTCTTAAACCTTGGGTCTTTGTTTGCTTTTCTAGCATTTTCAGTAACTGTTATCATAGATTTCTTTTGTTTTTAGGCATTCATAAGTCTGGTATTAAAAAATAACTTATGTGATTCTTATGTTCTTATTTATTACCTTCTGGACCTTTTCATCTTTATTGTGAAATGCTTCAGACTTGTTTCTATTCCCGGTTCCACTTTTTACTTCTCTTTCTTTGAGGTCAGATTCCAAAATCCCCATCCCATGCCTAAGCTGATAGGTTGTGTCACTTGTTGTGATGTGTACCTGTGCTTTGTTTGACAGTGCTGGCCATTCCTTAGATCCCAGCCCTCCTTAAGTTTGGAGATGACAGTAACTGGGTCTCCCTCTTTAACCAAGTGCTCGATTTCATCTTGTCTCTTATTTGCTGTTCTATTCCCAATGCTTTGAATCATGTCCTTTCATAGAAGGTGCTTTGTAAGTATTGTATACATAAGTGAAGTCTGGTTTATTTATCCTTCCACCTCCAGATATGTCTCCAAAGGATCTGCTTCTGCCTGCTATGACTTCCTTGTTTCCTGAGTTCCTCAAATGGCTCCTCCAGTCTCCAGTCTGTAGGGTTTTGTTTGTGTTAATGCTGCTCACACCCCATGTGATGCCTCTAGCATTGCACAGCCTGGGCTCTAGTCTGGTATTTGTGATAGCACAAGGCTGCTCTGCTCTCGTTCTCATCATGTCTGAATACTGATCATAAACTCTTCCAGATTGTATTAATAATTACTAATCACCTTTCCCACCTCCCTTTAATTACTAAATGATACCTCTTCTTTTCCCATAGTGGCCCCTATAAATACACTAAAAATACCCACTTCTCATCAGGTATTACTGATCTCTCCAGGATTGTTGGCTTTTTTTTTTATCCAGTGTGAAATATCTTAATTTATGCTTTGTATATCCTCAGTGTTTCCTTTGACTTTAACAAGAAGTATATTCCATTAAGCCTGGATTGCTATGAATCCTAATTGGATTTGCACAGTGTCTTCATCTGCAGTTCCCAAGTGATCTTATCACTAGCCTCACAAGATAAACTATTCACTATTAATTCCTAAAGAGAACTTCAGTTCCTCATCCTTTAAGGATCACCACAATATTAGCCCTGTGTTGCCTAAAAAAAGTAATTTTCTGTTATTTCCTGGAACTCTAACTATTAAACTCCCTTTGGTCCACACTCCAAACAACTTCTCTTCATGAGATTATTGTCCTTACAGGTTTACATTTCATTAGGGTATGCTTTCCTTCCTCAGATAATGCGTTCTTTCAACCCCTTTTTCCTTCCTAACTCTTATCATTACTCTAGTCTCTTCTTTCTCTCAACTTCAGTTCCACTTGGCAGTGATTCCATAAAGAAGTTAATCTGATCAAGTAATCTGTTATTTGATAGTATATATAATTGCTTGAGCTTTTTTGCTCCCTTGGATTATAATCCTATAAAGAATATGGCATGTTCTCCTCCCTCAACGTAGTATGTAAGGTAGAGTAGGTGTGTATTTCTTTGATTATCTGAGGAGCCAGGTAGGTGAACGGACTTTCTTGTCCATTCAGAAATGATTTATAGGCATTTATTTCTAAATATGCATGCTGGGGTCACAGCCCCATATATTTTGCAAGTACTATAAAAATACCCATATGTTTAACTTCCCTGATTTCTGTTCTGGGGTTCAAAGGAAATACTTCCTAGGAGATAGGCTTTGGTTAAGAAAAGAGAACAGTTGCATGAAGTAATTTAAAACTCAGTGTTTTACATGGAGGGCTGATGTTCCAATGCAAGGCCGAATCATTTTGTGCTCAAATGATTGTATGGACAGTAATTATTTTCAACTTCAAGGGGAAATGGAGTTAATTGAGGTGAGAAAGGATTTGAGAAGTATTTTTTTTAAAGCATGGAAACTCCCTTTAAAATTAGATTTTGAGTAGATGAAGGCAAGAAGTCAGGCAAACTGAGTGAAACAGTAAGAGCAGAGACTTGTGGGTGAAATGCAGTGAGGGTCAGTTGGGCACCACAACAATCTTAGCATAAGGCGGTGGTGCCTTAGATCGCGACCATCTCTCCCAACTAGATAGGATATGATAAGGTATAAAGTGTTGACCCATTTCCTCTAAAACAAATCCCTACTTGGTTGTCTCTTATGACCTTCCTTGTCTAACAAATAGCTTGGTTTTTCTTGAACAGAATACTTTTGGTAGACAATTGTCATCCTAACTTGGAATCATATTATAAATCCAGGTGGTGAAAAGTATTGTTTATCAGATTCTTTTTTCCATTTTATCTGTTGATAATTTGGAAGCAGATTCAGGGAAATTGTAGGTTTTGGAGGATAAGGTTGACATGGTTTCACTTAATGTGGATGATAGCAAGTATGATAGGTTTACCCAAAAATTACTAAGATAACTAAAAATAAAAGTCACTATTTTAGGGGCAGGTTGGGGGATCTGATTCTTAAGGTTTGTACATTACACTCAGGAGTGAGGAAGCTCTCACAGTCAGAGATAAGTGACAGTAGTATGTCAGGGACAGGACTGGCTTAAAGAAATTGTCAGGAGATTGAAAATTGGAAAAATACTTGCTAAACTTATCAAGCATGTGTTTTGTGCCAAATGCTGTTCTGAGCACTTTATATATTAACTCCTGTAATCCCATAACAAGTGTGTGAGGTAGGTGCCATTGTCTCCATCTGACAGGTGGAGAATACTGACTGCAGAAAACTATTAAGTAACTTGCCTACAGTCACCTCACCAGAGTTCATGCTATATTGTCCAAATAGGAACAAACAGAATTTCATGGTCAGAATGAGTTTTATATTAAATCATAGCTTCATTAGAATATTTAAGAAATCTACAACTTTTGAAAGGATGACATATTCTGTGGACTATTTTCTATTTCCTGTTGGACATATATATATTCTTGAGACTCTCCTTCCAAATGAAACAGAATTATAGGGTTAAAGTCTTGGTTATCGGGCTCTTCCTTTAACATGAGGAAATTTAGTTTATTCTACTGTTTGGAATGGGGGGAAAAGCAAAACAGTTTAGAAGTATGTAAACTAGTGAAAATGCTACTACAAAAATCTCAGTGTAAGGTGATAGTGCCTTAGATTGTGATCTGTCTCTCCTACCTTGACATGAAATGATACGGTATAAAGTGCTGATCCACCTCCTCCAGAACAAATTCTTACTTGAATGTATCTTACGACCCTCCTTGTCCAACAGCACTGCCCGTCACCATATTGGTATCTGTCTTGTCAACTGCTCATCTAACTTCCTTTGTCTACTGATCATTGCTCTGTGTTTGTATTTTATCTTCTATACCCATTTTTGAAGAAAACATAAAGTAGCAGAGATCAAAGGTGCTTGCATTTTTGTCAGTTTACTTCCCCCATTCCCACACCTGGAGGTAGTAAGGAGGTGTGCGTGTGTGTGTGTGTGTGTGTGTGTGTGTGTGTGTGTGTGTGAGTGAGATTCTAAACCAAAAGAATAAGAGGGAAAAGTGCACTTGAAATTATTTTCATCTGTCCATGAAGCTAGCATCTTCCCCGAACGAGATGCTTGTATACATGTCTCCTAAGTCTCATTCCACATCTTATATTGGAAGATGTACAAAAGTTGGTTAATTTTGTCTCTTTTTAGATGAAGCCTGGCAAACTGATGACTTAATAGAGCGAGTTCAGGAAGATGAAGATAAACATTCAAGGAAAACTGTGTTCATCAGTGAGACCCTGATTGAAGAGAGAGGTAATGTTCCTGGTAAAATTTTTAATGTAGAAATGAACCCTGTTCCTTCAAGAAAAATAGCCTATAAAAATAGCCTATGTGACTCATGTGAAAAGAGTTTAACATCTATTTCAGAATATATTAGTAGTGATGGAAGCTATGCAAGAATGAAACCTGATGAATGTAGTGGATGTGGGAAGTCACTCCTCCATATTAAGCTTGAAAAAATTCATCCAGGAGATAAATCTTATGAGATTAATCAAAATGGGGAACCTTACACTCTAAATGAAGAAAGTATTTATCAGAAAATTCATATTTTGGAGAAACCCTTTGAATATATTGAATGCCAGAAAGCCTTCCAAAAGGACCCAGTTTTTGTTAATCACATGGAAGAGAAGCCCTATAAGTGGAACGAATCTGAAATAGCCTTTCTCCAAATGTCAAACCTCAGTGTACATCAGAGATCTGACATGGAAATGAAGCCCTATGAATGCAGTCAATGTGGGAAATCCTTCTGCAAAAAGTCAAAATTTATTATACATCAGAGGACTCACACAGGAGAGAAACCTTATGAATGTAATCAGTGTGGGAAATCCTTCTGCCAGAAGGGAACCCTCACTGTACATCAGAGAACACACACAGGGGAGAAGCCCTATGAATGTAATGAATGTGGAAAAAACTTTTACCAGAAGTTACACCTCATTCAACATCAGAGAACTCACTCAGGAGAGAAGCCCTATGAATGTAGTTACTGTGGAAAATCCTTTTGCCAGAAGACACACCTCACACAACATCAGAGAACACATTCAGGAGAGAGACCCTATGTTTGTCATGACTGTGGGAAAACCTTCTCCCAGAAGTCAGCACTTAATGACCATCAGAAAATTCACACAGGCGTGAAACTCTATAAGTGTAGTGAATGTGGGAAATGCTTCTGCCGCAAGTCTACTCTCACTACCCACTTGAGGACACACACAGGAGAGAAACCCTATGAATGTAATGAATGTGGTAAATTCTTCTCTCGGTTATCATATCTCACTGTACATTATAGAACTCATTCAGGAGAGAAACCCTATGAATGTAATGAATGTGGGAAAACCTTCTACCTGAATTCAGCCCTCATGAGACATCAGAGAGTACACACAGGAGAGAAACCTTACGAATGTAATGAATGTGGAAAATTATTCTCCCAGTTATCATACCTCACTATACATCATAGAACTCATTCAGGAGTGAAACCCTATGAATGTAGTGAATGCGGAAAAACCTTCTACCAGAACTCAGCCCTTTGTAGACATCGGAGAATACATAAAGGAGAGAAGCCCTATGAATGTTATATATGTGGAAAATTCTTCTCTCAGATGTCATACCTCACTATACATCATAGAATTCATTCAGGAGAGAAACCCTATGAATGTAGTGAATGTGGGAAAACCTTCTGCCAGAATTCAGCCCTTAATAGACATCAGAGAACACACACAGGAGAGAAAGCCTATGAATGTTATGAATGTGGGAAATGCTTCTCTCAAATGTCGTATCTCACTATACATCATCGAATTCATTCAGGAGAGAAACCCTTTGAATGTAATGAATGTGGAAAAGCCTTCTCTCGGATGTCGTACCTCACTGTACACTACAGAACTCATTCAGGAGAGAAACCCTATGAATGTACTGAATGTGGGAAAAAATTCTACCACAAATCAGCATTCAATAGCCATCAGAGAATTCACAGGAGAGGGAATGTGAACATAGTAGATGTGGGAAGACTTCTCTGAAGTCAGACCTCGTTTTATGTGGGAGAACCCTTTCAATATAATGAATAAGAAGCTCCTACCTGAAGTCAAACACATTGTACAACAGAGTGCTCACCCAGGTGAGTGTGGACAAGCCCGTGTGTTAGTCATATAATCTGAAAACTCAGAGTAGAGACCATGATTATTACAAGACCATGTGATTCATTAGATACCAGACAATACAAGAGTAAAAGTTTATAAATATTTAGAATGTGTGTACATTTCACCATGGATTAGAACTTTTTTACATATCAGGGAATCTATCAATTTAGGGAATATGGAAAACATAGTCCTTATAAATTATTAATACTAAAAGATACGTTTCTGAGACCATAGCAAACTTTTTGTTTAAAAAGATACCCAGAACATAAAGGTATCTGCTGTGAATAAACATACTCCTTGTGTAAATAGAAGCTGTAAAACAGTCAGGATAGCTAATCAAGTAAGTAACATTAAACTCACATATAAACAGTTCCAAAAGAACATAGGACTTATGTTTTTGGGGGGCTTTTTTGGTTTGTTTTTGGTATGTTACACAACAGAAATTGTATGATCATTTTGAATCATGTTTGAAAAAGCATTGTATCCTTATTAGAGTAATTTGTAATACATAGGGTAAGATTATCCATTCTAAATAGCACCACCATGTTAATATCCTAATATACATTGTCCTTGAAATAATATTTAATAGATATAGAATGTACTTTTTCTTGCATTCTTCTCTGGCATTTATAAATGCATTTGATCATTTCTAATTATCATCCTTAAAGAACCAATAAACTGTTTCCATTTATGTCTGAGTCAGCAAAAGAGATAGAAATCTATGTATAAAATAGATAGAAAACCTTGCTTAGGTAATTTTAAATTGTTAATGCCAGAAGTCTCCAGGAGTGAGAAACTGCTATAGTCCTCATTCACTCTATACAATTTAAAGATGTACTTAAAATATTCTCATTTAATCTATTTTTTTCATCTATTTTTCATTTGGATGCTTACATAAGTGTGCAAGAATATAAATGCTATGTAACATAGGATTTAATTGTATTTTTATTTGCTATGATAGTGTTTTTAAGCCTTGTGCTCTGCTCTTTCCCATTACTGAATGAATTAATAGAACACATTAATAAGGGTTTGTGGCAGACATTGCTGAGTGACTCCACTAGTCACTCCCTTCTTATTTGCTGGTAGAGTTTGGGTATCTACTTCTCAAAGGTTGGGAGATTAATCCTGATTAATTTCAGTCAGTGACAGTCCCTTTCTCATTGTCAGCAGTTAGTTTAAAGTGGTAATGGGACCCAATTCTAAACACAAACAAAGGAGATATCTGACAGGTTATTTCTGGAAAAGGTTTTCTCAAAGGTTCAAAGACTCGAGCAAGGTGAAGTGGAATCCTGGTGAACAGTACCTTGTCTGGATGTGATGCCTGGTAACTGTCTTTCAGCAATGGATCATAGGTTAATCATGGCCTGAGTAGAAAGATTGTAAGATCTTGGGACCTGGATGATGTCACTGAGCCACTAAACCAACCAGCCTTGTAGCCACTCCGCCTTTGGACTATTTTGTGAGAGACTAACCTTATTTTTAAGCCAGTTGATTTACGATGCTTTGTTATTATTAATAATAACTGAAGACATCCTAATCTAAGTGATAAAGAGTTACACTTTTGTAGGAGTTACGCAATTCAGAAGTGGACTTTAGGTAAGTCATTTATTTTAAGGTGTTAATATAGAGATTATGTTCTGTAAATTCTGACGTAAATAGTTTGAGCATTAGAAATCAACTTGAAACAAATGTGAACTGTCATATCATTGACCTGCGAAATAAATCTTTGGAACCTGACACAATGTCCTGCAGGTATACCTCCTTTTTTCTAGTACAGGAATAAATTTTGTTTGAGGTAATCTAATTTGTATTACTCATGGGTCATTACTACAATGTTAGTTGACCATGTATGGTGTTGAAGTAAGAGTCTAATTTTGTTGGTTTTCAAATGATTAACCTGATGGCCTATATTATTTGCATTATTTACCCCTTTGCCACTGAGCTGAAATGCCATTTTTCATATATTAAAATCGCACATTGTTCCTGTTTTTGTTGCTCAGCACTTTCTCTCCATATTTATCTAGATGTTGTGAGTATGGTACATAATAGGAATTAAAAGTCTGGTAAGTTGTATAGTTTTGTGTAGGAACTATATATTCATAGTATATTTGTTGAAATGGTATCTGCAAAGGTTTCCCACACTGGTGTGTCATTATAGCTTGATTACACAATATATATTTTAAGTAAAATATTTGAAAAGTTTAAATGGCTTATATTCTTTTTCTGTTACGGAGTGCCTGTATATCAAAGGGTCTGGTGCATATAAGTGGTCTAAACTGCCTCTTCAATAATGTAGTCTATGTGTAACATGTTCATAGTTTCAAAGATGCCATTGTTTTCATAAATCAAGAGAGATTTTCAAGGCTGAGCAGGAGGAATGCCCTTCCTAGCAGGTAGAGCTGAGATTCCCCTAATTTTTTCTTTTTTTTTTAAATCATTCCAGCATTGGTGAAATGGGTGGTTTGCTTGTTGCTTCTGTGGTCTCTCAGGTCAAAATGAAAACACTGTTTTAACACAAGAGCCATATTCGGAGACCAAAGATTCACCCTCTTCTTTATTCCATCTCAGTATTTCTAGCTGTGCTGTCAAACTCCTCAAAGAAAGCTGTATAAGTCACATGACTACAGCCCAAATAATTACCAGCTTGATAGAATGCCTCTAGTTAAATGGAAGTGAAGCACACAAGGAAATGTTTTTTAAATCATCCTGCTTTTTTCTTCTCACCACAGATAACCACATAAAAACAAATTGCTTTTCCCTTCGTTGAATTTAAAGTCTATGGTTCCTGCCAAATTGATGAACTAGCATGGGCTGCTGGGCCCTACCCTAGAGATGCCATGGAAGTGAGAGCAGTGTATTGGTCCTGAGAATTAAAGACATGAATGAGGGGAATACAGGGTGGATGGGGCTTTTTCATCGGGGAGGTAATGGCAGAGACAAGTTCTAAAGAAAACTTTTGAATTATGTTTTTCTACATTATACCTTTCCACCCTATATTTTACTCTCCACAGTAGTGTCCCAAGCAGATCACAGCCCACCACGGTGCCTTCACAAGGTAGGAAAGCAGCTCAGCACCACAGTGGCACTTAGGTTCCATTAGAGCAGCCCCTGAGCTTGGCTGAGATGAGGAGTGGATACAACAGATACAGGTAGAGTATTTAACCTGAAGCATCCTCTCCTCACTCCGAAAGCCAAGTTATTACAGTGACCTGGAGACCTTTCGGAAGGTGCCTAGTGTGAGTATATCAAATGGTGTCCTCAGGGGAGGAATCAGTTGGGAAGGGGGCTTCATTCCAGGTAGCAGTGGTAGGACATTCTTTTTTGTAATACATACTTCCATTTAAACCTACCTGGAAAAGATTGAACTAGAGGATTAGACCTTCTCCCTGCTATTCATTTTCAGCAAAGATTTGCAAATAGCCCAGTAAAAATTAATTCAGGAAAGTAATCAGGCATTAGTACTAAGGAATTAGTACTAAGAGACAGCACACAATACCATCTACACAAAAGGGCCTAGCTTAATGGAATGCTGACATCCAGATTTCAAAATGTTCTTGATAGATATCCTTAAAGGAAAATATGGTTAGAAGAAAATTGTGTGGTGTGTGTAAAAATATAGTTACCAAAAGAAAAGTATATTATTGGGCATGAATAATTGTGATGAAAGAAATAATTGAATAGATGAGATTAATATAACATACAGCCAAAGAACAAATTAGTGGGCTGTGTGATAATGGCAAATATTTTCCCCAGGACATCAGAAGGAATGAAGAAATGCAATGTGAAAAATTAAAAATTGAGATATCAGGATAGTAGAAATAATATACTAGGATTCCCAAAAGAAAGCAAGACAAGATGTAAGGAAAATACATGAATTAAAGTTTTCTTGTAATTAAGAAAGAATGAAGGGCCTCAGATTGAAAGAGGTTTGTCTGCTGCCAAATGGAAAGATAAAAGGTATTGTCCAGTGAATGTCATACAATGGCTATGTCATTTTACACACTTTGTCCTACATACAACCTTTTTGATTACTGTTCACATCCTTACCAATACTTACATCCCTATAATTTTTGTCATTCTGAAGGGTGTAAAGAGGATTTTTGTTTTAACTTACATTTTGTAATTACTAATGATTTTAAGTACAAACTATCATAGCCTTTCTTTTGAGTGTACTACCGTTTTCTTACTACTTTGCGGGATATCCTCATATATTCTAGTTGATCTTGTTCTATTTGCCTTCTAGATCCTTCAGTACGGCCTTTTGACTGAATACAAATTTTATAGAACAAATCCTTTTAATAAAAGGATTTGGAAGTTTGGATTCAGTCAAGGGGCCACACTTGGGGATCTGCAGGGCCACATGTGGCCTGAGGCCGCAGGTTCCCCACCCCTGGTAGAATTTCTTCATAACAACATTTTGAGACATCCTAGTTGAACAGCACTAGCAGAGATAACTGGTATACAAGCAGTGGAACGCTGTGCAGCAGTTGGAAGTAAACAGCTGGATTAGCAGGTAGCACACTTGGTAAAATCTTTTTGGTATGAATGGAAAAAATGGAACAAGATTTAATATCACTAAACAATATTTGTGTCAATTACAATTTCTCTCTTGCACATACACACTTCTACATAGGTTACAATACTATTTAGTGCCATAAATTTAGTATGATACCTGTGGGGAAGGGAATAGGAGTGGGGTTTGGTATGAAGAGGGAAATCAGGTAAAATAAGAGTGTGTCTGTCTTAGCCCATTTTCTGTTGCTATTACTGTATACCTGAGTGGGTAATTTATAAAGAAAAGAAATGTACTTTTTAAGAGTCCTGGATGCTGCGAAGTCCAAGATCTAGGAGCTGCATCTGGCTAGGAACTTTTTGCTGGTGGGGACTCTGCAGAGTCCCCAGGCATCCAGGGCATCACGTGGCAGGGGGGCTCGCCAGAGAGAACCAACCTGCCTTTTATACCAGACCACTCATGGTAACAGATAACAGAGCCCTCATGACCCAGTCACCTCTCAAAGGCCCCACCTCCCAATACTTTTATGTTGGGGATTAAATTTCGACATGGGTTTTGGAGGGGACATTGAAACCATTGCATGGTCCCTGTAAAAACCAATGTTGATAATAAATATACTTAAAACCAAGTAGTATAATTAATTCAGCACAGTTCCCCAGGACATTTTTAAAAAACAGAAAAATTAAAGGCCCAGAGAAATTAAAATCCTTCCCAATATTATA